TGTCTCTCTCTGTCCCAAAAATAAATAAAACGTTGAAAAAAAAATTAAAAAAAAAAAGATACAAAGAACTTTAAGATACAATGGCAAAGAGTCAAATTGTTGGTGAGAAAATTTTTTTTATCCGACTAATTTAGACTTACACTGACTTGTACACAGTGGAATGGCAAGCTGGTGGCAGAACTACAAGAGGGAGTGCACGTAATCCTCAGAGAAGAGAAAATGTGAGTCCACAAAGCAGGGTAGTGACAGACTATCTTATCTTAATAATTGACCTTCATGTCCCCAGGCTCTCTCCCGCACAAGAATGTTCCGGTTTGTGTAAGTTATATGGAAGAAAATGGTGAAAAGTTTTCACTGATGCAACATAAATATGAAATTGATGATTTCTGGGAAATTAATTTTGGCTCAGCTGCCACTCTTTGAAATAAAGTTCTTCACATAATAAAAAAGATTTCTCAAGATTTTAGTGTGCTAAAGAGCAGAAATTCAACCAAGTAGATATGAATCTAACCAATTGCCAGTTGGTTTTGCTAAGCGATTCATAAACTGGGCAGCATCCCATCTAGAAAATAGAGGAGAGCTCCAAGGAGTTGTACAAAATGGAAGGTTTTTTTATAGGAAGTAGGTGGAACAAGAAAGTAAAACAAAAGAAAGGATTGTTCCAGGCAAGGTCACTTTTCCTTAGAGTGAAGGGCAGGAGGTCAATATTGGGTGAATTATCTTATCTGCCTTTGGGGATGTGTGAGGGCCCATGTGACAGATTACTTCACTGGTGCTTATCAGGAAATTCCAGACTAACAGGTTAAGATTTACCTTTCTGCTGGGGGAGGTTGAAATTGCAATTAGGTATTAAGCCCCAGTTTAGTGACTTGGCCTAAGTGATGCCATTTTGGGCCTCTGGTTATCTTTTTAACAAGGGAAACAGGGATTGAGTGCTACAAGGATGTATGTTTTTGAGTACTTAGGAGAACTGGAAGTAGACCTGGAGAAGGACTTTGCTGTAGAATTCAGACACCCTCTCTCACCTCTCCTGTTCCCAGTCTTGTCTTGCTTTCATTCTTTCTCATCTCCTCTCAGAGGCTGTACATTCTCTGTCATTCTTTTCATCATTCTCTCTCCACATAATCATCTTGCATATATCATTACAGCTGCCAGCTCTTTCTCTATGTCAGCTTTTTAGTTAAGAGCTTGGCACCTACTCTATACTTTTTCTACAGCTCTTAGTTCAAGTTCGAAAAAAGAAATCTGATTGGCTGAGCTTAATTCTACCCCAACAAAGCCTGTAGATTAGCCCCCAAATTAATCAGTGTTCATTCCAATCCAAAACCAGGCAAATTTCCTCACAAATGTGAGTTAGGAAGGGAACACTGAATATGCTTGAGAGGCAGAGTCTGAGGTAATAAGGGGTAATTATGCAGCAAAGTTTCATTGTTAAAACCAAAGTTTTAATGCACACAGCAAAGTTTTTTGTTTGCTTGTTTTTTGGGGTTTTTTGGTATGAAGTACAGAATAGGTGTGAGAAAACACAAAAGAGTATTTAAGCATCTGCACTTTGAAGTCAGACCACACAATGTGAATCAGAGCTCCACAAACTATACTTAACCTTCCAAAACCTGTAGAAACAGCCATTAGAAGGGAGCAGGATTTGTCATCCCAAAAATACGCCTCTCTGGCATAAGGACTATTTTAGGCTGTTTTTTGTTGTGGGGTTTTTTGTTTTGTTTTGGTTTGGTTTTTGGTTTTTGGCCAAGTTAGAAAGGCTTTATTTTTATTTAATATTTCACTGGCTTGCTTTATAACTTTTATTTACTTAAATTTCCTTAATTGAAGTATAGCTGATAATATCACATTAGTTTCAACACAGTGATTGAACTAACATTATACTATGCTCATCACAAGTGTAGCTACCTACCATCTATTACAACACTAGTATTGACCGTATTTCCCATGTTGTACCTTTTATCCTCATGACATTCATTCCATAACTGAAAGTCTGTATCTCTTACTTAGGGTGATTATTTTAAAAAAAACAACAGACACGAAAAGCTTTGAAAATGGAGAAGTTATCGGGGCCCCTGGGTGGCTTAGTCGGTTAAGCGTCTGACTTCGGCTCAGGTCATAATCTTGGGGTTTGTGGGTTCAAGCCCTGTTGGGCTCTGTGCAGACAGCTCAGAGCCTGGAGCCTGCTTCAAGTTCTGTTTCCTCTTCTCTCTGCTCTTCCCTCGCTCATGCTCTGTCTCTCTCTCTCTCTCAAAAATAAACATTTTAAAAAGTTAAAAAAAAAAAGAAAAAGGAGAAGTTGTCTTTTATTAAGGGACATTTACGTTTATACAAGAAATCCCCATCAGTACAGGCATCTCCCTCTGTGTGTCAGGAAGAAGAGAATAACTAAATCTTTAGAAATTTATCACTGGAGAAGGCAAAGACTTAAATTTGCATAGCAACCTAATCCTTGTTTGCTGTGCTTTTCCTGATAGTCTCCCATAACTGGCTCACTCACCCCCAACATCATCTTTTGTCTTTAGAGATGTTTCAGATGGTAGCTTGGGCCACTTCAAGGAGTCATTCTGCTTTCCTGGGTATATCCTATGTATACAGAAAGTATATATGTTACTAAACTTCTGTTTGTTTTTCCCTGTAAATCTTTTATTATAGGGTGGTCTCACCCAAGAACCTAGAAGGGTAGAGGGAAAATTATTTTTTCTCTCCTACACCATTGTCTAGAGGAAAGAATTTTATTTGTCCTTCAAGGTCCTTCTAGCTGGAATAAGAATTAAATTGACATGAGATAAACAGGAGAAAATAAAATTTAATTTTGTACATATGGGAAATCCATACAGACATGGAAATTCCAAAGACAGGCAAAATGAGGTATATGTGTCACTCCGAACTAAGGAGCGGTTAGGGGTCTGATACTTCAAACGGAAAGCATGCAATTCACTGGAAGATAAAAAAGAGTAAATATTCGGTAAACAAACATTTTCAGGGCTATCAAAAACAATAGGACCTAGAGACTTTGATCAAACAGGTCTTGCTAGGTTCTTCTCTACCATGCCTAGTTCATATCATAATGTAGTTATCTCTAGTGATAGTTCTATTTCCGAAGCAGATCCTCTGTCTAAATCCTTTTAGGCTGTCGTGGGAAAGGTAAACAGTCTTTTCTGAATCTGCTGAGTTTTGAGTGCTTTTAAATAAAAAATAATCTTCATGCCAAATTGAGCCATCTTGGGGTGGCCTGTCCTGGGTACCTTATTCATAAGCTAGTTGTGAGAATTAAATGAGGTTATTTATGTGCTAGACCCCTAATAATTATTTTTTTTTATTTTTATTTATATATGAAATTTATTGTCAAATTGGTTTCCATACAACACCCAGTGCTCATCCCAAAAGGTGCCCTCCTCAATACCCATCACTCACCCTCTCCTCCCTCCCACCCCCCATCAACCCTCAGTTTGCTCTCAGTTCTCAACAGTCTCTTATGCTTTGGCTCTCTCCCACTCTAACCTCTTTTTTTTTTTTTTTCCTTCCCCTCCCCCATGGGTTCCTGTTAAGTTTCTCAGGATCCACATAAGAGTGAAACCATATGGTATTATAATTATTCAGTAAATATTAAAAATACAGAAGAAGAAAAGTTACCACTCACACAAAGATTAAAGGAATGAAACAAACAAAAAAAGAAAAGCCAAAGGCACAAAGACAATCTAAAAAGGGAAAAACAGGAAACTGATGGATTTTTTGATCAAATGACTGAAACCTTAATGGAATAGTAGATTCTGAAATCATAGGAAATCTTTAGTGATCTTAGTCTGATATGATCATAATTCCATTATGAAAACACTAAAGGTTAGTGGAAGAGAGCCAAAGCATAAGAGACTCTTTTTTTTTTTTTTTAACGTTTTATTTATTTTTTTGGGACAGAGAGAGACAGAGCATGAACGGGGGAGGGGCAGAGAGAGAGGGAGATACAGAATCAGAAACAGGCTCCAGGCTCTGAGCCATCAGCCCAGAGCCCGACGCGGGGCTCGCACTCACGGACCGCAAGATCGTGACCTGGCTGAAGTCGGACGCTTAACCGACTGCGCCACCCAGGCGCCCCAGCATAAGAGACTCTTAAAAACTGAGAACAAACTGACGGTTGATGGGGGGTGGGAGGGAAGGGAGGGTGGGTGATGGGTATTGAGGAGGACACCTTTTGGGATGAGCACTGGGTGTTGTATGGAAACCAATTTGACAATAAACTTCATATATTGAAAAAAAAAAGAAAACACTAAAGGTTAACCTCATGACAGCAACTTACAGCAGAACAATTGGACATATTTAAGAATTTACAAGTTATGTGAAATAATATCATTATCATCATAATATAAACAATAGTAATAAACACAAAAATTTACATTTATTGAAGGTGCGTGTCTTAAGTGCTTTATATATGTTTATACGTATACATACATGTATTAACCCATTTACTACATATATCAAATTTAAAAACCTTTATTATTATTATGTTAGGGAAAAAGAAATGGATGCTCAGAGAGTTTAAATAATTGACCAAAGTTGCAAAACTAGCAAAGAGTTGAGGTTCAGGGTTCACAGCCCATCATTCTGCAATAGATAATTCTCTAATCCTAGGAAACTTCAGAAGCCCTCAGATTGTTTTCTTAAGTATACCGATAATATGGATAAAATAATTTGAAGAAAAAAACAAACTGGAAAAAGAGGTCATTTTATTAAGTAACAATGTAATAGTAAATATATATTGTAAAAATATATAGCTCTGAGGGTAAAAGTGTTTTTTTCTTTTTTTAACTGATTATAAAAAGAATCCTGGAAAGTGAAAGATATAGTTCTTCAAGAACAGTAATTCTGAATTCTGTTTCCTTCATTTTGTCCATAATAGAAAAGTGTTTGGCGAAATTAGCCTAAATACTATTGGAGTGACCTAAACAGGAAGCCTGGCTATTCCCAACTGCCTGTGATCTCTGAAACCAGCTCTGGGGCTCCCTCTTTGCTCCAATAGACAGGAGCGACTTTGGGCTACATAATCATCAAATTCTTACCTCGCCCTTCACTGCTAGTAGGATCAGATTACATTTCTTTCACTATTCTCCACTCCCCAGTTTCTTGATCTGTTTAAAAGAAGTAGAAAAGATATATCTTCTCTTCAGTGCCTGGAAGGGAAAACAAAATAACCTCAACTCCGCTTTGAAAAAAATCTTTCCAAGAACTTTCTTCAGAGATTTGACTCGTGAGTACTTGGCAATATACTTTCTAGCCCATGAGAAATAACCTTTATTTTTTCTTGGGAGAAAAACAGGGTACTGAGAGGTAAAGGCTGGTAGGGGAGGACCATTGTCTGTAACCCTATAAAGAAAATTGACTCTTCTCTGTAAACAGAGTAAACTCATATTTCAGTGCAAAATTAAGTTCTCAGCACTTTGCATTTAGTTCTAATGCAAATATATATGCAGTATATATTTATGCTTGAAGACCTTGAACATTTTTGTAAGAAGTTGGTGAGATGTAGTCTTTTTTGTAATTCTTAGCTTGTGGTAGCAATTTGTTACTAATTGTGTGTTTAATTGGAATTTTCTGAAGATTTGGTTTACTTTTAAATAGCATATATTAACATATAAAGAAATATGATTGAGAGACTCCCTGGCAGCCTTATGTTTAAAGAACCTTCTTCCATTACCTTTAATTGTTGGTAGTTAAAATGAAGCATAAACATTAGAATTCTTGTAAACTAAATTAAATATTTTATGCCTGTATTAACTAATCTCTCTAAGGAAATACTTTACAAGCCTTCGAAGAATAAAACTCACATTCTAAGATACTTAAATAAGAATATATATCATTTCACTATTTGTAGTACAATGATGTTAATTAAAGCAATAGATCACATACCTACATGATGTACTATCATGTTCATGTTGGTTATGAAACATTAAAATTTGCTTCTGGTAGCCAATAAAAGCACATAATATAAAAGTACACAACCACCGAACTATAATGAGACAAAGTTATTTAACTGTGGAAAAAGCTCATTTGTGTAAGTAATACCAAAAAATGAAGGCCAAACAGTGCCATGTAGGAAAAAAAGAAAAGATAAGCAACAGCCACAGTGTGACTCAGTGCTCTGGAAATTAGTCACAAAATGACTTTGTAAATTGTGTGATAAACACAGAGGGCAGAACCCAAGCAGGAAATCTACAGCCCAGAGAGTCATATTTTATGTATAAAGGCATAGTATTTACATCAGAAGGAAAACATGTCAATTTTGAGATACTGCAAAGTTTTTAAACCTAAGAAAATCCTTTCCTAAAACAGTTTTAGATTGTTTTTAATTCATCATTCTAGTGCATGATTATTTCAAGACATTTTATCTGTATCTCCTCTAATCTTTAAACTAAAAAATGAATACTGTCTTTGAAAATGTATTGGAGTATGCAATTTAATTCAGAGCCTATGGGTTAATAAAATTATATAAGATATTCATAGGGATCAAAGGGGTTAAATATTAATGTGGATACAAGTAATTAACATTATAGATGTAAAAGCAAAACTTTAAAATACTTGGAGAAGGGCACCTGGGTGGCTTAATCGGTTAAGCATCCAGACTTTGGCTCAAGTCATGATCTTGCAGTTCACAGGTTCTAGCTCTGCGTTGGGCTCTGTGCTGACAGCTCAGAGCCTGGAGCCTGCTTTGGATTCTGTGTCTCCCTTTCTCTCTGCCCCTCCCCGCTCGTGCCCTGTCTCTCTCTCTCTCTCTCCAAAATTAAATAAAAACATTAAAAAAATTTTTTTAATTAAAAAATTAAAGAATGTTGTTGGAGAACTTTAATGACATACATATTACTGTTTGGTTCCTCTTTCCATTAGGTTTGCTGAATGGCACAAGTTTTGTTTTGTTTTGTTTTTTTAAAGGTATGGTCTGATACCTTTAAGTATTTGTTTGACATTCAATAGACTAGATCAAAATGTGGCTCCTGTTCAAATGGATTATGCCATCAGTTGGTGCTTGCTGGTCTGATTGTAACTCTAGGCTTCACTTGCTTGTTGGTCATACAACTATTATGACTAAAATCATAAACATTTTTGCTAAATTTAAAAATAAAATAATCTATGAAGTGGGAAATTGTGTTATTAAACTATACTTTTTATAATATTAAGTTACTCTTCTCTTCAGAATTAATTTCCTGACCATTATTTTATCTATATTATTCAAATTCAAAAGATAATTGGACAAGATGAGTCCAATCTGGAAGAAAACTACTGGAAGAAAAGGCCAAGTTCAAAAGGCTTTTACTTATTCTCAGAATACCTAGCAACTGACCAAATAGTAAATGCTATATATTCTTTAGAAATGGTTGGTTTAAATTCAGTGTCACAAACTTTTAAGACACATTTCAACTCAGATCACTACCTAATTAGCAGGAAAAAAAAGTGCAAAGTAAAAATCTTTGCAAAATAAAAGAATAAAGGGCAGGAGAAACAATATGAAAAGGGAAGGGAAGTACTTAGAATAGGATTTTTAAAAAATACCTTATTTATTAGTATACATAAATAAGTTGAATGATAATATTGGTTAAAATAAGTTAATTATATCAACAATTTATTTTTGCTATGTAGACATGATTTAAGAACTGTACTATAATTCACCTATTTCACTAAAGCCTGACTCTAGCACCCTCCCGTTTTTGTTTTCCATCTAAAACATTTAACTTGGGAAATTAATTTACACATTTGTCTTTTTAAAAACAAAAATGTTCTTTTGTTGTTGTTGTTAAAGTCTATTTACTTATTTTGAGAGAAAGAGAGAGAGAGAGTGGGAGAGGGTCAGAGAGAGGGGGAGAGAGAGAGAGAGAGAGAGAGAGAGAGAGAGAGAACTCCAAGCAGTCTCCCCACTGTCAGCACAGAGCCTGATACGGGGCTCAAAGTCACAAACCGTGAGATTGGGACCTGAGCGCAAATCAAGAGTCAGACAGTTAACCCACTGAGACATCCAAGAGCCCCTAAAAACAAAAAATATTCTTAAATGTATTATACCTTTTATAGAAATATACCAAAGCTGTAATTTTTTGTTTGTGCCTTGGAGATATCTGAATTCAAGAAATTGAGTGACTATTAAAGTCCTTGTTTCTGAATATTAAATTTCATCAAAATGAAGAAATGTTGCAAGATATTCCAGAAGGTTCTTTCTCTAGTAGGTCTCTGAAATCCTCCATGACTGGTTTCTTGGTGTGATGTATCATCGCCAGGAGCCCAGTCTTCCCACTACTCTTTTTTCCTTGTCTTCACTTCTTCTCCAAGTGGCAGGTGTCATGTAGAACCAAAGCTTAGGATTCAACTACCAAAAGGCTAAGGATGACCTAGTCATTGCCACATTTCTTCTTTCCAGAACCAATAACAAAAAGCACTGGATCCATGTCAAATTTGCTATGTTCACCTCTCTTCAGGACTTCCTTTGGGATCCTATGTTCTCTCTTAGTTGGAATAAACACATTTTAAATTTATTTTAAAAACAAAAGAGTAAAAGGACACCATGATCCGTAGTAGAAGTGCCAGTGATGCAGTATTTCTATTCCAATTGTTCTGTCTGGTGGACCACAGTTCCCTGAGGTGACATGGACTTACTGCAAGGAATTCCCTAATCAAAATGTAATAATAGCATAGTAGCATTCTCTGTAGACTGAATAAATATTATGTGTTGTTGATTAGACTATTTCAACATCAGAAATGTGAAACTATCAATCAATATGGCACTAATAAAATGTAGTGTTTTTATTACCAAGCATAATTTACCACTGGCATCCTTCAACTGTACCATACCCTCAGTGCTGCCACCACTCTGCTGCCAACCTCAGTTTATCTCTCCTCTTCATGATTCATATCAATGTCTATCCTCGCCTCAAATCCCATAATATCCCATCTCTAAGCATCACCTCGTTCTTTACTTTACAAGACTTAAAAATGGAGTAAACTTTAGTAATGGGATGAGCCTTCAGAATAATAGTGTTTGTTGCAAACTTTTGATATTTTTAAAATCCATTTAGGAAACTTCAAATTATCTTACAAAATGAATCAAAATGATTATATTAAAATAGCATATGCCTACTCTTGCTCTTTTTTGTGCCAACTATTTTCAAATATGCATGAATGTAAAATGAATGAATTTCTGATTCATACTACAAGAATGGACCTTGAAAGCATGCTAAAGTGAAATAAACCAGACACAGAAGAACATATAGCATATAGTTCCATGTGTATATCCAGAATAGACAAATTCATAGAGCCAGGGAGTAGATTAGAGTTTACCAGCATCTAGAGGAAGGGATAAATGGTGAGTTACTGATTAATGCATACAGAGTTTCTGTTTGGAGTGATGAGAAATTTCAGCAGTTGATAGCAGAAATGATTGTACAACACTGTGAATGTAATTAATGCTACTGAGTTGTACACTTAAAAATGGTTAAAATAGCAGGGGCACCTGCGTGGCTCAGTCAGTTAAGCCTCCAACTCTTAATTTCACCTCAGGTCATGATCTCATGGTTCATGAGCTTGAGCATGTCGGGCTCTGTGTTGACAGCATAGAACCTGCTTGAGATTCTCTCCCTCCCTCTCTCTCTCTGTCCCTCCCCAGTTCGTTCTCTCTCTCTCTCTCTCTCTCTCTCAAAATTAGATGTTAAAAAAATGGTTAAAATAGCAAATTTCATGGTATATCTACTTTACCACAATAAAAAATAAAAACAGAAAACTATTAAAAAGAATTCAGTGTATGGAAACCAATTTGACAATAAATTTCACATTAAAAAAAAGAATTCAGTGTGAAGAATTCTAGATTCATGATAATATACCTTTTATATTTTCTCAATAGAATGAAAGTACAAATATTATAATATTGGATATCTAAATTTTAAAAACTGAAAACAGGATCTTCCTGTTTTGTTTCCTGATGCAAACTGGAACCTATTTTTACCTGATATTGCTGTCCTGGAGGCTAATGTTTTTTATTCATATTGTCGTTTTTGGTTTTGGTATCAGGGTAATTCAGGCCTTACAGATTGAATTGGCAAGTACTCCTTACCTTATGTTAAATTTTCTGGAGTAGTTAATGTAAAATTTGTATCATGTCTTCTTTAAATGTTTGGTGGCATTCATCAGTGAAACCATCTGGGACTGAAATTTTCTTTGTGGAAAGGTTTGTAATTACAAAATTCAATAAAAAATAATTATAAGCTATTCAGA